AAAGAGTGTCTCTTAATCCATAATAACCAGGGAAACCACAGCTGAACCACAGAATAGATGATTAAAACAAAGCAGTTATGAAAAATAAATTCAAGTACTCTATCCAGTAACTAATGAGTCTTGTATGCAAACCATAGATCATATTACGACAGCACATTACTCTTGTTATAACTTTTTGTTGTTTCTTTGAAAACGACTAAAAAACCATGGCACAAGTGCAAAAAAATATTTATGACTAGCAAAACCTTTAACTGTTTTTTTTTCTTTTCTTGGTCTGTTGGTTTAGTTTTTCTTAAACTTAAAAAACTCATGTTCGTATATACGCAAAAACTAACCCGAGCCTCATGCTGGAAATCCATGAAGGCTTTAGCTTGTGACTGCAGTGTTCCGCGGATGCTATATCCCAACCGCCCACCAATCTGTTGATTGTCGCACGAATGGCATGCAAGTATAAGCAGTGGATTTTACGGTCCTTTTTGTGAAGTGAAAAATAAAAGAAGTTACCTTCTCTGTGGCAGTTATAAATTCTTGTGTGAGATCATATATGCTCATAAATTCCTGCAACTTTAGTTTAGGATGCAGGAGAGCACGGACTCCAAGGAGTTTAGCCCACCTTCCATGAGCAGCATCACAAGCTGCAAAGACAGCTTCTGTGTTCTCTCTCAAGGCGTCAGCCCTACGTAACAAAGAACATCATTCCAGGATCGGTTAGAAGGATATAAAAAAAGCTTATGGGTAGAGACAAAGGTTGCATGGTTTTTTTTTTGGGTCAGATTAGGCACAAAAGTGGAACAAAGCTACAGAACCTGAAATTTATTGACATGTTCATCAAGCTTGATGCATCATTGGACTTTCCCTGCAACGGAGGAATCTTTGAGGTTGCCCTATTTGGTGAATATGGCACTACTGGACCAGTTTGAACGTCATTTTCCTGTGCTGTTTCTGCAGCTGCAGCACCAACAGCAATTGCAGCTGCAACTGAATCGGCCGCATAATGCCCATCAATATTGCAGAGAATCCATTCAATTGCCTTTTTAACTTCTGCAGCCCGAATTAGATGTACCTGCATTCACTAAATGAAATGAAATCATATTACATCTTAAATCGATCATCTAACTGATACAGAGAGTGAAAGGTTCTAATGACATATTAGCTAAAGCTACAAACCAGAAAAATGCTCCCTGGATTTTAATATGAACAGACAAAAGTTATTTGTGAACCCCATATGATTAACTTTCTATGGTGCACAAGAGTCAATAAACAAAAGTTTCAGGACTGATGCAATCAACAATAAATTACCTGAACAATCTTAAAAATAGCACTTAAAAGATGAACAAATGCCTCGGATGACAGAGTCCTTAACTTGCTCGCAAGTGACAAGCCACCGCCTAAATAAGATACAAGACAATAATCATCCATTCTGGAAGAAAAAATACCAAAATAGAACCTCCAAAATAGGAAACATCATCTCGAGACTAGAGAAAAAAAGAGCAGGGAGAAAGAAAAGGAGTCGGCTTAAATCCTTATATAATTCTCAGTGTTCATTCCTTATCAGTTAAACCTTCCTCCCAGATCATTTACAACTATGCCTGATCAAATTGAAACATAAAAGAAGAAAGCAAGTGCGAGAGAACATCCATACTTGTGACCAAGCATTGCTGCAATAAACAATAAGCTTGATATATGCACTAGGCAAAAACCGGGAAAGGCTGCTTCTACATGTGTTGCACTTGTATTGAATGTGTATAGGAATGTGGCCCTCTTTGAACACTAAACTTTTATGATTTTATCCATATCTTATTGTATGCGATCATGCAATGACATGATTCGTATACAATCTAATCGCGGACTATTAATCATAAAAATCTTACCATCAGCATCTACTGTGCGCTCTCCAGGTGAAAAATCAGACTCAAGTGATCGGGCAACAAGAATTGGAAGCAGCTCAGCAACTGCATTCTTGATTGCAGTTTTCACATCAGCTGTAAGAGCATCACGATACATCCTCAAAACAGATGGGAGCTTAGCCTAAGGAAAAAATATTTCAATGAATAATATATGAGAAACTGAATTCAGAATCAAACACTAAATTAGGCATTACTAACCAACACTAATCAATAGAAACGACAAAAGTGGGTTTGTCAAAGAAATAAAAAACAATTACACATTATTGAGCTTTATTGGTTAGCATATGATGAAGAAACATGAGGCAGGCCCACTCACTGTTCTTAGCAATCCAATAACCAGAGGGAGGAGCCGGTCTCGTAAGCTGGATGTTTCATCCTCTTCCAACTTAACCTGAAAAGTTTCAAACCCAAATTGCAGAGATGGAAAGAAGAGTGTAAATAAGATATATTTTAGATGCTAAAAGTGATAGAAACGAAAAAAAGCAGACATGCGATGCTGTCCAAGAACCTCCTCTGGTAATTCGCCCTCCCAATTTAAGGATTTTACCATTGTATAAACAAAAAAGCATATCCATACTGATCATAAAAGCAGAAATGTATCTGATCAGACTTACTTCATCGCCAGTCTTCCCATTAGAAGAAAGGGATCCCCTTCCTTTCGCTGCTGATAAAATAAGCATGTCTGCTTGTCCGGAATCATGTATCGAGGCCCGCATAAATTCTGCTGTGAGAATACTATGTGCAAATTTTTACCAGGTCATTAGATACCAGACAAAATAAGTAAAGAAAATCATAGATGAAAAACATAACATATACACAAAGGAGGCAAACGAATACAATGAACTGTAAAAATATCAAGAAACAGCACTACCAGAGGGGTAAGCAATATACCAAAAACTTTAGTGAGACAACATCAGATTCTACAGTGTACTACATAAAAAATATCAGGTTACATAGATCATACCATTATCAATATACTAAAGTGGCAGAGCAGCCTAGATCTCTGCCTAATTATCGATAACCAATCTTCTATTTAGAGGTCCGGCAGTTAAAATCAAGTTCTATGAAATCAAATTTCCACCTCCGTTCTAAACCAGTTATGTGGGACTCGGAAATGGAGGATTGCTTTGAAAATGGCCCTTAGAACGATTGAGGTGAAATCTTATCAAGCCTCTGTGAGTCCCCATTTCAATGACAAACACAAGAAACACTTCCTTCACATAAACGATAGGCACGCAAAAATTGTTAATGATTCTCCTAAGAACACTACACAGCATGCGCAGATTCAATTCAAAAGCCACAGCATTTTCATGGAGAACTTGCATAACAATCTTAAAAGAGAGATACCTGTTTATGGAATCTATGGAAGTGGTGACATGATCCCGAAGATGGCGAAAGCAATGTAGACCAGTTAGCTCATCTCGATCCTAGAATCCATGAAAGGTCATTCTAGTTTTCTCGAGGAAAGATTCACACACGAGCACTCTTTAAGAGTCCCAAAGTAACCAAACAAATCACCGCATAACTTACCAACAAATTCTGCAAATCGTCGGTAATATCCAGAGCTCCAGCACAATCTGCGGATGCAACAAGCTGAATAATAAAGAACAAAACTTCTATCAGGAATAAGAGAAAAGGAACACAGAAGCTCAAAACTGTCAAGGCCCTAAGCAAATCATCCAGAAAAGTTACCAGTTTGAGGGCGGAAAGAGCTTGATTAACATACAAAATGAGCCTCAATCTCTGTTGCAGCTCCAACAGATTAGCCCTCGTCGAGCTCAGGTCCTGAATCTCCCTAGCTGAATCGACCAAATCCTTGTCCAGAAGCCGAATCGTCTCCTTCAACTCACGGATCCTACTACATCCCTCTACAATCTTCACATTCAAATCCTGTAGCTGACCCTGAGCCTCGAAGAACGAATCCGACCTCACAGAGATCTCCTTCACGAGATGCAACTCCACAACATCGAGATACTGTGAGAGCTTCTCCTGAAGCGTCAGATTCTCCGTCAGGCTAGAGAACGGACAAGCAGCCCTAAATGTCGGTCCGTCTTCGAGGGCAAAGTCCTCCTTGAAGTACAAGGCGGGAACTTCACGCAGGCATGCCGCTAAACCCGACACATGACTCTCCTGATCGAACCCAAAGCTCTCTTCCTTGGCGTGCTTTCTGATATCCTCGAACCTGCCATGAGACTCCGAGATCGAAGAGACGTAGCCATGGAAGTGAGATCTGGTGAGCTCTGAGCCAGCGAGCTTCGTAGATGCAACCGGAGCGAACTCCGACGGAGCCACGAACGTCGAGGATGACCACCAACCGACCCAGGATGTATCGGGGCCATAGACCCCGGACTTCCCACCGTGAGGATTGTTGAGGATCGAAGAAAGGCTCTGGCTACTCGCATCTGAGATCGATTTGGATAACGACGAGGACGAGGACGAAGACGATGAAGGACGGCCATGATCGAAGCTTGATCGGTGAGCGGTGCTGCTGACGGACCTTCCAGGCTGGGAAGGCTGCGAATCCATAAGGTCTCAGGATATGAGAATCATGAAAAGAAGTGATTTTCTCTCAATTTGTTGAGAATTTTCTCGGGAAAATCCAAGCGACGATCTGGGGAAAATGTGAGAGAAATCGAATCCAAAAAATCTCAGAGATTTTAAGAACCAAGAAATGGATCGAACGCCAAACGGTCACGGCCTGGATCTGGCGAATGGCAATGGCAATGGCAAAGACCGGGGAGCCCCGGTCGGTTTGGCTCATAGGGGTGTTCCCGATGGACGGCAGATTCGATGTCCACGTCATTTAGACAAATAATCTAACGGAGATTAATGAACGAAATTAGAATTACCGAGATTAAGGCTTTATTAATTATTATATTTGCATATAACTCTTTCAGAACTCATTCTAAATTCTCAAAAAGATCAAAACTTTCTGTAGCAAAACCAGAATCTGAGTTGATATACAAATCCTTGAAGCAATAACACTTATGAATAGATCAGACTCGAATTTATCCGGGCTTGTTCGAACCGGTAATAGGCTCGTCTAGTTCGTAGGAACAGCATAACACTGGAAGCTAGTCCGAGAACCGACAAGCATCCCCACCACACAAACGTTAGAAAGTAGCACTCTCTTCCCATGCACACGACCGAGTCCAAAGTCACGGCCGTTATCCTCGAGACTCCATGCGAGTCATAGACCAATGCCGCCAATAAACCGTAGACCAGTGAACCTATCGGTATGTTCGTGATGAGGATGTTGTGGTTTAGGCCGAAGCTGTTTGGACCAAACAGCTCGGATGTTATTGAAACAGCTGCTGCGAAAATGAATCCCGAGCTTAGGCCTATCAGAGCTGTCCCTGCTTGTAATGATGCTGATGCATTTCCGGATGACGCCAACAGGAAAAGGGCGATTGGGGTCGGTAATAGGGCGATGGCTAGCCATCCGGTTCTTGCGAAATATACCTTCCTGCACCAAGACCCATCACAGTTTATCACATTCTAACCATGATACTTGATCTTGTCTATGTAATGACATCGACCCGTTATCTGTTTTGGGCAAGCTTGTCTTAACCCGAGAAAGATCTACGAAAAAGGATTCAAGGCCAACTTATTATACACCGCCTCAGATCTTACAGTCTCTTGGACGTGTAAATTCCTCTCCTGCTACATATGGAACCTTTGAAGGGAAGTACAATCAAGAATCTGGTTTAGAAATCTTAATCTATATGGCATGCAGGAGTATATATGGACCGAGCATTTTATATGCATGAATGGGGACGACTAAGGAAAAGAAATCACTTACGCTCGGATATAATCCGGTGTTGCTGAGAGCAATCGGCCAAAGAACGAGAAAGAGGAGTAGAGAGTGACAAGGGTGGTGGTGCTCGAGCTCTGTCCTAAGGACTGTGCAATCTGTCCAAGATTGTTGCTGTAAACAAGACCGATCGTGCCACCGCAGAAATACGCAATGTAATAAAGCCAGAAATCCCACCGGCGCACGAGCAGACCCAAAGGATGCTCTTCCCCGAGCATTTCGAGCTGACCTTTTGTAATGACTTTCATGCAGAAGCCGTCTTCATCTCCATCAAAACTCTTCTGAGGCGTAACAGCGTTTGTAACTGGAACTCCATCATCGTTCAGCAACTGGTAGCCCTCGAGACTGGACTGTCGAGTCGCCATGCCTTTATGCACCTCGAGCTCGTCCACGTCAACAAGAATGAACCCAGAACCTTCCAAGCGGAAACTGGAGTGGATGGTGCGAAGATACCAAGAACGGGCGTAGACAAGACCAGGGATGCACAAGGGGAAAACCAAGAGGAAAACCGCTCCACCGAAAAGGGCACGAGCAGTGGCTAGAGAAGAAGGGTTTGAGCCAAAGAGGAGGAGATAAACGCCGTTCAGGATGGCTATAACGTTAAGCAAGAGAAACATAAGAGAGTCGCGTCTAACGCCGTCAGGGGGAAGAGGCTCGAGAGGAGGTTGGCGAAGAATAGGGACGAGAGCGAAGAAGGAGACGAGGAGAGGGACGAGGGCATTGAGAAGGAGGTAGAGTTGTGAGGAAGAAGGGCTTATAGCGTTGAATGCGAGTGTGTATAAGGCGGCACTGACGCCATTGAAGCTCACGGTGAGGGAAAGATGGAAGTGAGATCTGGTGAGCTCTGAGCCAGCGAGCTTCGTAGATGCAACCGGAGCGAACTCCGACGGAGCCACGAACGTCGAGGATGACCACCAACCGACCCAGGATGTATCGGGGCACCAACATATACTTAGCCCTGCCAGTAAACAGCTCAAGAACACCTGCCACGTCATCAAACAACAACACCGTGTTTAAAAATTACAGAAAAACCAAATATTTTAACAAAATAATTTTTTATCAATAAAAAATCGAACTAAAACTGATTCAGAATCTACCATAAAAATCGAGTAAATATTTAAATATTTAATAACCCACCTAATTAAACAGCTCAACCACACCTGCCAAATCATAAATATTATTAATCATTTTTAAATTAAACTATTTATGAAAAATCTTATAGATCAGCCAAAGAGACACGTGGCACGTGCCTCACAATCTACCAGTCAAACCTGTGGTCTACGAATCTTCGGCTTCATCCCATTTGCAAATAAGAACACAAAAAAATAATTTTCTCTTATCGTTTTATATTTTTTTTCTTTGTTTGTTTTATAATATTATGCTCTACTTGCAGCACTCATGGCAAAATAACAAATCGCTAATGACGTAGCCGATGGATAAATAAATAAATAAATATAATTACGAAATTATAATATGGTTTCCAAAAAAAAGTCAAAAGAAAAAAAAAGATGAATAGAGAAAAAGAAAGTAGTAGCAGCCCGTGTGAATGAATGATCTTGACGTTGAAAAATGCTGTGGGCCTCCTTATATTTTAAATAAATTGCAGAAGCGGGCCGACCGGGGTGCTGTTTGGTTACGAAGAAGATGGAAGCCGACCGACCAAACACCACCACGTGGTCGTGGTCGTGGTCGTATCGAAGAACATAGCGTCCCTTTTTTTTTTTGTAAGTTTACTTTACAAGTGACAAACAATTACAACCCCGATTTTATTAAATGAATAAATAATCGTGTAAAAATACTTTTATTTCTTTAAAACTTCTAAATAAGTAAAAATAAATTTCTTCAATTTAAATATATAATTTTAAAAAATATTAGCGTAAATGTAAGCTATGGTGGTCACTAAAAGTTGCGTTATCATTTTAAAGAAAATATAATCATATGTGTATATATATATATATATATTGATAATATTTAGCAAAAGAAAGTATGTTTTTATTTGAAAAGATTTTTATCAATTCTGTCGAATTTACCAATTCTAGAGGAAGAAATTAATGGGAAAGCAAAAGAATATATTATCTGGAAACTGGAAAAAGGTTTGTGAATGTTTTTTTTTAAACAATGGAAATTCAGGCGAATGAATAAATCAGAGGAAAAAAAAGGAAACTCACGACGATGTAAGGGAGGGAGATGAGATCGTTGATGACGAGCCATTGGACGCCGTAGCCGACGAAGCCCATCATCGCCGCCGCGAACAGCACCGCCCAGAGAGGGAAATACAGGAGCGCCAGCCCCGACGACCATCCGAAAACCTTGCCGAGATCCGACGCGACGGCCAGGTAGTTAAGCTGGACCTGAGAAATCCCCAGGACCGATTTCAAGTCCGACGAGTAGGCCGAGAAATCGAAGTTCGTCCCCGTGAACGCCTGAATCCAGATCGTCGCCACCAGAATCATCCATTTCCGCGACTGCCCGGCCATCTCCGCCGCCGTACTCTGAGTTTTTCCGATCGGTTTTCCGGTATCTCGTATGTATTTTCTCTTCTTTTTGCTCTTTCTATGGGAGAGAAATCGCCATGGTTTTCAATGGGAGGAGAGTTTGTTGTAAATTGTAATTAACCTACGTGTCTGCCCTTTTAATACTAAAGAGGACTAACTGTAAATTAACGTTTTAACTTTTTTTACATTAAAAAAGCCAAATTGTAAAAGAATAATAATAAACTGTTAATTAAACTTTCTGCTCATTTTCGTTGTTTCCCTTTTGCATTTTGATTTTCTCAAATCACTGCAATTATGATCGTGAATAAAATAAATTTGGTATGTAATACTACAATTCCTTATTATTTATATATTTGAATATATTATCCATATATCACAGGTAATTGCAATTTTTAAATGAAGTTACGAATAGTCGCAAACAAAGGATATAAAAATATCCGCAAAACTTCGGTCTCGCCCTAAATGCGAGTATCAAATTGGGTTGAGAAATGTATATTCTAATCATATGATTTGTTCATCACTCCAAATTAGTCAGGTCACCCGAAAATCCAAAAAAAAATAAAAATAAAAATATATTACATTTTTTCGGTCAATATATTTTCAATTTTGTATCATTTTGAATGCTTTTGATGGAAAAAGGAATGAAAATATAAGTTGACAAATCCACCTACCCTTTTGTCGCTCTCATAGAAATTAGCAAATAATCATACCCTAGTTAATGATAATTGATCAATTTCAGCAAATTATCAGGAAGCTAATTGCATTTGGCCCTACATCATATGACTCGAATCTATCATTATTTTGTTAATCAGTGTTTAATCTCCACTAAACTCTTCATAACGATACTGAAAAATATCTATGCGATGCATGAATCACGAGGATAGCGTCGTTAAATATAATATATATATATATATATATATATAATTTATTAATATATATATATCATTAATTGTCATGTCCATAAGTGGAATTTTGTTGTGGTCCATCAAAAACAGAGTGAGGGGTTATATATGTACATATTATATATATTTTTTTGTCTTTTTATATTCCTGTCATTAACTTGTAAATTAACACCGACCAGTGGGTGGCCAGCGAAGAGATGACAAAGTCATCCTCGACGTTCTGGGTTCGAATCCACTGGTGGGGAGGAGGGGACACAATTAATTGCGTGTCTAAAGGTTGACTCCGGGCCCAGGGGATTACGAACCTCCTGGTTATATAAAAAAAATAAAAAACAAAAAAACTTGTAAATTAACATATGCTCGCACAATAATGTTGAAAATTGATATAAAATTTAATACATGGAATTCTCAACTGCATATAAACAATTTGGATGGGATACCACGTTTATTCCAATTCCAAAATTGTTTTTTTTTTTCAAACTCATATGAATCGGAAATAAATAAACATAAAAATTAAAAGATGTTTTTGGAGATAATTAATAATTTGCAAGTTGCATGAGAGGTACGTATAATGTCTACGTAATAATACACCTCTATGCATGCACACGTAGACCATTATCCTTGTTGGGCCCTCCAAACCACCAGGCCCATTTATGGCCCAATCTTACGGGTTTTCGGCCTATCTGCCTCGTACCAAAAAAAACGATATAACCAAATCTGATACATATATACCCAATTTTGGTGATAAGCTAATCCAAATCCAAATGGTACGAGTTCCAGCGTTCACATTCAGATACTCAAATATTTCGGGGAATATAAATTTATAAACTTTAACAATTTCGTAAATACGGATATAAAAAATGAATAACGAGTTCTATTTAACACCGGGAATCATGTAACATTAGACAATATAATACATCTCTCGACGTGGTCGAAAAACCGGGTTTTCCGCGGTGTCAACGTGAAGCTGAACAAAAACAATGGTCATGATCTCACTCAGTCTGGCTCTGGGGGTCGGAAAAGACAGGACATATCTTCCAGTTCCCGGCTTGTAGGATCAGCACCAAGATCCTAATTTGCGGTTTCACGAGTTTCGCTGGTCGGGAAACAGGCCGGCCTTGCAGATGTCTCCTCGGCAAAGTGGGCATACCCTGCATCGGCATGGCATTCACACATATGAGACATCAATGGCATTGAAACCGAAAGCTTGCAGAAAGAAAAAAAAAACACTTGCATTGGTTACAGTCTGTTCCGAAACAAAGATCGTGATCCTAGACAGATTCTTTATCAAGTAATCCAACCCATTTGGAAGACGAGAAAACGTCAAGAAATGCCGTCGTGGTGTTAAATCCAATGGCGTATTCTGTGACTTCATACCCTACTATTACGTGTATGCTTCATAGATCCAGACAGACATGAATGAAACCCGCTAACGAGATTGCAGCATATTGGTAATTGTGTAAGAAGAAATCGTCCGAGATGAGATGTAACCTAACCAATGCCTACCTGTGGATTTCCTTGAGCCATTTATCCACGCAAGTTCTATGGAATTCGTGATGGCAAGGCAATGTCCGTATAGTGTCTCCTTCTTCGTATTCCAAGAGGCAGATGTAACATCTGATAATCCAAAGTGATATCACAAGTTAAAAAGAAGGAAATGAATATGAAACTATCATGATCAACTGCTAGACCATAATGAGTTGACGTACTGCGATGATGCTTCCTCGTTCCGCTCTGCATGTGACTTGGTGTACGGTTTCACGGGTAACAAGTCCACGACATTGTTAGGTGCAGGAACAGATCCAATTGGTGAAACAGATGGTTCAGATGATAAGACAACAGATTGCTGGTGGATTTCATCCAGAACCTAAATGATCAAACCAGGAAAACAAGTAGTCCTCTTAGATTAGCCTACACGAATATCATAAGAACAGCCGATACATGAGACAGGTAGTATTACCTCAAACAAGGCTTCAGCCAGCATTACTAGTCTCGATATGCTAGCACTAGCATTTGTCTCATCGGCTGTGCTTGCACCACCACGGTTACTTGCATGACATGTGCAACGGCCTGCTTGGTTTGGACCCGTCAAGGCACAAGACCTGTCATGGCCTGAGACATTCTCGAAACGAGTACCCAGTCTTTGAAGAGCCCGAACCTGGTCATGTAGTTTATACCGGTTACTTGCCTCAGTTCATCAGACAGTTAAAGGAATAAAAGAGGACAAGACACAACCAACTTTGCCTCTAAACCTCTCGAGGGTATTGGATTTCACAAACCTGAGATCGTATTCTCCTCCTCCGTTCAAGGAAATTCGATCTGTGTTCCAATAGATCCCGATACCTTCCTTCTCTTGCACGAGGAGTTTGCATCTCGTGATCTTGAATGCCAAATAAGGACCTGCGAATACTTGATGGGGAGTGACCAAGTATCGATCTTGAAAGCATGGGACTATTTTCTGCTGCAGATGTTGTTGCCTGACTAGCTGAAGTGGTATCACTGCCTTCGTCTGGATGCTGAGAACGAGGGTACGAAAAATCCGAGAGTGAAGACCTACGAAGAACCCTATCACGGAGTCTTCCAACACTAAGTGTCCGGCTAAACCTAACATTCCGTTCAGAGGGCTCCCGAACTACAGGACGCCTATCAAGAACTCCAGCATAGTTACTGCCCGGATGGCTTGCTGTCCTTGGAGTTGGAGAACACATGTTGGTAACTTCCCCGACTCTCATGGCTCCAAAATCTCTTACTACATTGTCGGCCATGGGAACTCTGTGTTCATGTTGGTAATCATCCGATACATTATATGTAGAACAATTCGAAAGTAGAGTACCGGTTGGAGCTTCAAAACCCTGGATGCAACCTCTACTGAAGTGGTTTCCTCGGCGAGATTCATTTCTATCGGTAAAGCTGCTTGTGGATTCTAACGGAGAAGTAACACCGTCTAGATCATTCGAGGAGTCTGGATAAGCATTCATGGATCTTGAGCTTGAAGCTCTGCTGAGTCTGGAGCTTATGTTACCAGGAATGAATCTGAAATGAGAAAAGATACGACCTGGAGTGTTCAAGGATCTTGACGAGGATGCTCGGACAGAACCACCATTTCTCATTGGCAGATTGGTTACACTCGCTTCGCCATGTTCATCAAGCTCAAGCTCATCAGACGAGATACAAGGCTTTTCGTACTCATCATCCTTTTCCTTCAACCCTTTGTAACAATCTGCATTTTCTTGGCCCTCAGTCTCCAATGGCGTCATTCTCCGCCTTGAGGTACTTCCATGGCTCTTTCTCATCCAGCTACTGCATACCTGAAGCAAAGAGTCACCGACACAGAATCTATCAAATTGATTAGTGTCGATCATCATCTTCCACACAAAGACTGATGCATCATTAGCTAAAAGATGATCATGTCTATACGCACATACACTAAGATAGTGAAACCATTCACAGAACCAAATATCCAGGCTTTGATTTTAGCATATTGCAGATAATTTACGCACACGGACCTGTTCACCATCATCGTCACTGTCGTTAGAAGCAGAAGCCGAGGAAAGACAAGACGATGAAGGAATGCTCCAATGGCTCCTCGATCTTATCCTCCGTCCACCGTCACTCCCCGACACCGCCGCGCCGGCGGAGCCGCGACATGTCTTGCTCCCACCCGATCCCATCCTTCTTCTCACCAAGCCCTATTCCTCCCTGCTGAAACCGAATACTCGCGCCTCGGAACTTCACATCCGAACCCAACTTGCCGCGAACAGGTGCAGGTTCGAATCAACATTCTGGGTTTACAGATTCCCCTGCAAATCCCACCACAATCTGAAAGATTCGCCTTGGATCTTCACATCGGAATCCAACTTCGGCAAGAACAAATGCAGGGTCGAAGCAGCATCGTGGGGTTACAGATCTGGAAGCCGATCGGTCCCCAGAAATGTGAAAAAAAAAAAGGGAAAAGCAATGGGTAAAAGCGTCTGGAAATCCGGATTTATGACACGAGAAAGTGGAATGCAAGCTAAGGTCTTGTTTAAAGGAGGAAAATGATTAGAGCGAAAGGAACCATTTTTTACAGGTAATAGGAGTTATCGAAGGAGACGAAGCATCCACGAGAGAGAGAGAGAGACTTTTACGGGAAGAGCGTGAGGATGTTCGAACGGGAGGGAACACGAAGAAACCAAACTCCTTTTGGTTTAATATTTTTAAAAAATGGTATTCGAATTTATTTTTTTTTGGTAATTTTGTGGAGGGCAAAAAAATACACCAAATAGATTTCCTCTTCGAGATTTGAAGGAAAACGATGATCAATCTATAATCTTTTTATGCCTTTATTTTATGGTTCAACAAACACGTTGAAGATTCGATCTTAATGAACTTTCCATTCCAAATTGAAATCGAACAATGTTATTAGATATCGATCGTTACATTCATCTATCAAAATGGATTAAAATATTAACGTATGCAAATCAAGTTTAACCCATTATTTTTTTAAAATTAAATTAACTAAATTTGAATTAAAAATAAAAATAAAAACCAAATGAAACAAAATTTTAAAAAAAATAAGAAAAAATCAACTCAAATCGAGCCGAGTAGAATACGAATCAAAATAAAAATCGATCATTATAATTTTTATAAAACTAAATAAAAAATAATTATTCAAGTTTGAATTATTAGGCAACAAGTAAAACAGTTCAAACACAAGTGAAACATATGCCTATAATTGTGGAACATATAATTGGAAATTGAAAGTTCAATTTTCGGATTATAAAAAAAAAATTGAATCTGTTTAGGTTATCTTCTTGATTCAATAAAACCCACAAACAAAGTCTCTAGCTTTGCGGTTCTTCATGAGAAATCAGAAAGCAGGGCATTTCTTTCGAGTTTTCACAAATTTCATCTGGGTTTTCCTGAAAATCCAAAATTAACACGAGGGTTCTTTGAATTTGACACAGAATTCCAAGTTCATAACTCTAAAATCACATTACCAATGAATAGAGATTAATACAAGGCATAAAGATTCCACCTTTCCTTAATGGGATAAGATCTAGCACTGACAGACACCATGAATCTCGCGTCTATATGTTTGCAGATATAAGAATCAGATACTGGTAACATACCCATATGCCATAACTCCCAAAAACGTGCGCATTAGGCTCGAATCAAGATGACAGATCGAAATTTCCCGGGAAAACAGAGAGTAAAAAGACAAAAACTTTAACAATTCGAGAAGTGGGGAATCGAAAAGAAACTAAATTTCTGGATTCGGAGAAACCTAGGACCGGTTCAGACAACTTGGTTTCGACAGATTCAAGAAGACGAAACGGCTGAAAATGATATGTATTCTCTCTCTTTTTTCTCTGAGTTCAAGGCCATAGATCTGAAATACCAAACAAGCAAAGAGATGGGGAGAGAGCGAATTCTGCTGCTCAGATCTCACGGATGCTGTGCTCCTTGACCTCGGGCTCCGATTCAGTTGATGCAAGGCGGGAACTAACGCGCTCACAGACCACTCGGGACAAGCCACGTGGCCGTGACAGACAAATCGGTTCCCGATCTGCACCAAGCGAATCCGAGACCGTCGGTAACTCTATCATCTTCTCTCTACCTCTCTCTCGTTATGGAAACGAAGACAGTGGAGAGCAGTTTTGGCGGCGAGAGATAAAAGCTTCTGATTTAGCCCTACAAAGCCAGAGGCCCGTTAGGCTCTGACGGCAGGTTTGGTATATACTCATAACAGACGAATTGTATGCTGAAACGTGTGTGGCTAAAATACGTTGTTCCGACCGAGATTTGAGTTGAATTACGAAAAAGCCACCGGTCGGTCCAAAACTCGATATGAGACGTTCGAAAGTCCAAATTTTTTGGGATCTATAAATTCAAACTTGACATTTGATATTTTTCGGCTAGATTCAAACAAGATTTCAGGGTAAAATTGACATCTCTACCGGAAAAAGTATATCATAGGCCAATTTTACCTAATAAAATATTCAGAACAAGAACACTTCATTGAGTACAACACCTCAATCGGTAAAAATTCGGATGATAAACGGTGAAAATCTTTACTTTCGATATTCGTGGCAGATCTCATATAAGGTTAATACGTATTAGGATTCATTTCTTTCTTTTTTTGCCTCACCACTCATTCTTCGACTTAAAGACGTCACAATCTTGTTTTTATAATTAGGACGTAGATTGGGTTTCGGTCCATTTAATCCCCTAAATCCGAAGTCAGCTTTTAGTAACGTAATTAATTGAGTTCCCTCATCCCCATCAATGGAATCGAACATGAAAGATGATTTTGTCACATCTCATTTATTAGACCACCAATTGTTAGATAAGACGTCTCCATCTTTTTTGGCGTCATGTTTATTTATAAATTTTAATTAATAAAAATTATTCATTTTAAAATTATTTAATTATTTTAAAAAATAATTGATATAATAAAAATAATTAATAATAATAATAAACGGCTTTTATAATATTTTTATGTATTAATGATAATAATAATTTTTTTAAATGTATCCAAAAATTTAGAATTCCTATAATAAATATAATCGATTTTATTTTTTTTAAATAAATCTTTTAATTTATTAATAATATATTTTAGAAATTATGATATTAATTTAAATATTGAATTTCAAGTTGAATTTGAATTTATAATAAGTTTGTCATAAAAATAAATATTGAAGTATAATTAATTTTATAATTTTATGTTTATTTTTTTAATAATAACAATAGTGTATAATATAATATCTAAAATATTTTATTGGATTAATATGTTTAAAAGAATGTAAAGATATGTTTTTAAATTTAACTTTATTTTATTATCTGTGTGATTATGTATGATTAATATTAATAATAATTATTTTTTAAAAAATGGGTCCTAAAATTTATGGAACCCTATTCCAACGCTTCACTTGCATATGCTAAAAGACGACCTTGTCTTGGATACATCCCTCTATGGTTCGGCCTTTCGCCTCTGCCGAGGGAATAAATCTCGGATAACTCAAGCGTTCGCACCGAACCAAATAGCTCGAATCCGATGATGGATTCTAATTGGAATCCAAAAAAAAATCGGATATAACCGAGTCGTGCAAAACCTTAAATGTAATCATATCAATTGTACCACAAGATATAATAGATGAAAGCATCTTCCTCTTCAATGGCTTCCGAACCTACTGAAAGGATTGAAAGAAAAAACCACACATGGTTGGTTTATCACCAACTTGTACTTCCAAGCATTGGTCACCAAATCACAACTAAATAGAAAGGGAATATTTCGGTTTGGATTATACTGGAAAAAATTCAACGGATTATTTTTATATCGGATTCGGATTTTGATTCGAAATACTCATTCATTTGTATCGAATTCAAATTTGGATTTGAATTACTCATTCATCACAGTCACATTCGGTTTTGATTCCCTAAGCCCTAATTAAGTTGTAGTGGGTAATTGGAAATTTAAAATGCCTAATTACCATGTAGAAAATGTGATAAACCTTGGATATATGCAAGAGTTAGAAGACACGTAATATCCCTAACCTAACTCCTTGCAGTTGGATCATTAATACAAACATTTAATGAACCATAAAAAAAACAAAAATCAGATGATTAATAAAAAGATAGGCAGATGTCTCTATCCACAGTTGTGTTTGTGTGGTCATCTGACCAATCATGTTGTTGGCCCCTTATTATTTTCCCAATTTATTTAAATTATTTCGAAAAAATATAATTTACTCACCTAAAATCCTTCTATCATTCGAATAACGAGATCAAGAACAGAGCCCAAGAGTTGAAATTCAATTTCTTGTGTAACAATATAGAAAAAAAAAAGGAGAGAAAATTCGACCCAAAAAAATTCACCAAAATATAATTGATTCATTATTAATAAAATCTAAACCCAAACACCATAGCTTATTACACTATAAAATGAATTACCATATTCTTGTTTAAAATGTATTCATTAATAAATTATTTTATTTAATGAGTGAGAAGTGGACCGGACACATTCACGTGAGAAAACCCTTCCTGAAATATTTTATCCTTTTTTAGTCAACGCTTTCTATTGATTTATTACACCGAAGATTCCGACCGCGACATGTCTATTTTGCTGTTATGTTTGTATAAATTTATAAAAAAATATCACATATATATATATATTAGACCATTGAAATGAAATCAGAGACAATTAGACATAGCGATCAAACCAAATCTGATCGAATAATAAATAACTGTACCAATATAAAATTTAATTTAAAAATTGTTTGGATATGTTCAATCGAATATGAAATCAAATACGAAAATGATAAAAACGAATGAAAATGACAATCACTTTATGAAATTAAATTTTTTTTTGTCAAAGTATGAAATTAAATTTTTGCTAGTAAAATGTAACTTAAATTTACAAGAATATGAATAAAAAACTTAGTATAAAATAATATTTGATTTCTAATTTTTTTTTTAAAAAATAAACCTTAAGCTTCTCAAATTTAATAAAGTACTACATAAATTAAAATATTTACCAAAAAAGGCTCAATTATTACATTTTTACAAAAAAAAATACTTAAAACTCCTAAATTGTTGACGAAAAAATCTTTATGTACTGACGTGACATACGAGTTTGTTTCACAAGAATAACCGTACATATCGTATCATCTGCCACGTAAAAAATTTAAAACAAATATATAAAAATGAAAATAAAAATATTCATACGTACATACGATGTACAATCGTACATATATATACATACATATATATGTATGTGTATATATTTATTTTCATATATTCATTTTGATTTTTCTTTTGTTTTTTTAAATTGTTTAGGTAGCAAGTGGCATGGCAGATGAGATGAATTGTGGGTTTGCCATGTAAGCATGACCAAGCTCACGTAATAAATAATTATCACGTTTACAATTTATGTGAGCAAATTCGTATATGGACGTGGACATAAATATTTTTTTTTATCAAAATTTAGGAGTTTAGGTGTTTTTTGACCAAACGTAATTGTTGAAAGTTTTTTTACAACAAAATTAGTTTACTTAATAATTCATCACATTTAGAAATTTTAGAGTTTTTAATTCGATTTTTTCAAAAATAAACAAACAAAATCAAATTGTAACTCAAAACATACATCTCTAATTGGAATAATAAGATAAAACTTTTTTTTGGTATTCAAATAATAAGATAAAACTTGTATTGTAAACCAATATAATATATAACATATTTTTTACTCAAACCAATATAATATAATAAGATTGGATGGCTCAACAGCAGGGGTGTCAATCGGGTCAGCTCGGTCGGACCCAGCCCGAATCCGCACTCGGTCCGAAAATTTCGGATTCGGACTCGGGCCGATCCGATTTTTTCGGGCCTATATAATTAAGACTGAAGCCCGATCCTATGCATTTCGGGCTCAGGTCGAATCGGGTTGGGTCGGGCCGGCCCACAGGCCTATCTTTATAAATGTTATTTTTTTCTTTTTTTTCTTTTTTAAAATTTTTGGACTTTCGGACCGGCCCGATCCGACTCGAACCCGAAACTCGAAACTTGATTTGAACCCGATCCGAAAACCCGATTTTTTTCGGACCAAGAAACTTCAGTCCGAAACCCGCTATTTTTCGGTTTGGGTCGGGCCGGGTTTCGGACCTCGTGCTCAAATTGAAACCCCTACTCAACAGGTAAAAAAGAGAGTAAAAATTTTTCCCAATCTGGATTCGAGTCCTCATTTGGAGAGGGTCATTCATATAGATTTTTTCGATCCGGACTAAATATCCAATAAACTTCCAGATTATCAATATATATATATATATATAATATGAAAGAATCAAATTGAAATATCATCCGCAACAACCTCCCGAGTGGTTTGAATCGTTTGATAGGATACCATCGTTTGATAGGATACCATCGTTTGATATATATATATATATATA